GTTTTGTCTGTACATTGCTTAGAATAATGAACTTTTTGGTTATTTTTACATTTCATAGGTCAGAGAAACCGAATCAAACCTTATCTCAATTTCTGTCTGTCTGTCTGTCTGTCTGTCTGTCTGTCTATCTGTCATTCTCTTGGTAACGCTAAAATACGCACTTTATTACAACTACTCCTCAATAACTATAGCACTGTCCCGCCTGAAACTTATTTTCCAAATACTATACATATATGAGATGGTTTTAGACGTATTTCATCGAATATGAGACAGTTAGATATTTAACAGTAAACCCTTGAAAATCAAGTTTTTGTCGATTTTTGACGTGGAATTTCTGGAAGCCCATGTTAACCTTATGAGAAATGAAATTATTGAATCTTAACAGCTGTTTCAATTAAACAAGTTGGTTCTGTTCTGTGATGTTCAATAGCATTAAAGTTACAAGGATTACCAACAGGGTGCAGCACTAGCACTATTATTTCTTTTACATTTATGACAACAGCTAATTTGCAACCTGGAGGCGAGTGAGCGTAGCGAACGAGCTAACCTGAAGGCAAGTGAGCGTAGCGAACGAGCTAACCTGAAGGAAAGTGAGCGCAGCGAACGAGCTCCAACATACAGGTGAGTGAGCGTAGCGAACGAACTTCAACCAGGACGTGATTGAGCCATGCAAACGAGATCAGATAGTAAAAATAAAAGTAAGCCTACCGTTATAGGATCGACCGGCAGACACAGAGGTAATTTAACCTTTTATTGATTGTCATACCGATCCGGAACAACAAAAAACAACATAAAATGAAGCTATGTATAATAGTTTGGCCAGCATATCTTAAAATATGCAAACCAACTGCTGTTCTTTATATAAGAAGGTTTCAACTGAATATTATAAGATCCCCGTGCGTAGAACGGGTACACAGCTAGTATATATTAATTGTGGATGAAATACGCACAAGTAGTGCCTAATAGATGCTAACCGCTACTCGTACCTATTACTCGTGAACAAAACAATATGCAGCTGTTACAACAGCCAGTAGTTAAAGTTTTGAAATGGTTTTAAATGCCAAAGAAGTGTCTATTGTTTAGCCGCGTCGTTGTGCTCGAAAACTATTATCCTATCTCTAAAGGTTAATCATAACCTTACTGACAACAATGGTTTAACCTTTTTGGAACGATGTTGAGTACAATGCACTTCAAATATGCATTTTAATGTTGATGTTCGAAAGTCCAAAGTTAACAAGATTATATGCTTCTTGGATAAATTTAAATTGTATATAACAAAGCAACAAAGTATCTACCCAGCATTTTTGTTCAGGATAAAATACTTAAACGAAATATAGTAATTAGTTTCAGGAACCTTTGTTTAATTAGAGATCATGCATTCGGTGTTGAGTACAGTATATGTTTGTACGGTAAATGTTCTGTATACTGCATTTTAACGTATGCTTCTAGCCTTTAGGCCCCATCCTTAACTATTTATAGAACAAAATTATCCAAAAGTCAAAACACAACGAAAGATTGGTTTTGTTTTCAAGTATGGAGTTAAACATTTGACTATTGATACAACTAGATATTCCATCCCTATGTTGTTTGGAGTAAAAAAATCTAAATCCTATAGTCAATGGTTAAGCGCATTTTCATTTTTGAGTACTGTAATGTTTAGGGATGTTAAAACTTGATTTGCTTACAGCTGGGTGGCTGACTAGGTTTTGGTGCTCTTCTGGTAGTCAAAAGGTTGACGTTTCGTCCCTACGAAAGTTTTGCAGCTTTTTGATGGATCGAAACTGAGCCCTTCTGTCCTTGGTCATCGGGCTTTTAATTATACTGGCTTAAAAACAGCTGGTAGTCAGTTACAAACCTCCACAGGTTGTCTTTCCATTCTACACTTTCAAAAAATCAGCTTGGAATACGCACTAGCATAGCCTCCAATACAAGGCCACGGGGAGGCGAAGTGGCAACGTCGGAAACCCGTCCGATACAGCTTCTGCGCAATGTTTCTGTTTACACGTTTGTTATTGCAATATCAATAGCCCGGCCGGTGCGACGTTGCCACACCGGTCTTGTATTAGAGAATATCTTACCAAAGTGTTTGATGCTGTATTCAAGAGTTGATTTAATTAAAAAGGACCTCCATTCGGGTATCTCGTTATTTTATCAATTATCAATTATTTAAGATGGGGACGCCACTATATGCGTATTTTAACCCAAATATGAGTGAAGGATGAGTGTATGATGAGTGGCGCGATCTTGTAGTCTTGTTAGTGACTAAGGCCGACATGGTCCTTAGACACAGCTGTTAATGAATAGCCCATACAGCTAATGGCAACTAAGGGACCTACAGTTTATAGTGGAATACGAACCACATTTTTCCTTGTAATTTACGAATTGGTCTAATTCAGGATTGTACTGTGGATAGTCGTAGTACTCACTAGTGTGGACGTTAATCCACACCAGGGAGCATCGTATTCACAGTGCATCCCCATAAATATCCACAATTCGTGACCTCCTAGTAGCTGGATTACAGGACGACGCCACCCGTCCCAGTTCCAGTTATATTAACATATGAGTAGCCTAGTATGTTGATACAGAATGTTATTTGTGTTCTGCTTGATAAGTGTGACAAACACATCTGCAATATACGTGATAATGGACCAGGCATAAACATGGCTGTAGCTATTTTGATAATATTAATAAACAATTGCGATCTGTTTTATGGTGTCTACGTGACGGAATGCTTCTTACAGTATATATCTTCTGTCTAATGTTAACATAAACTGTTTTATTTATAATTTTATTTAGTGTGCAATTAGCAAATAAATAAAACTGGCAAAAGCTATGTTAATACTGAGGTAAAGTGGAATTAGGAATGCAAATGTTATGCCATCAGTGAAACTATTTTTGGGGAATGGATACCTGGAAGCGCAATGTGGATTCTACATATTTGAACCTTTACTCATCAGATCCATAAATTAGGAATAACGAAGAATCTTAACTTATAGATCTTTTGCTGATTTTCACGTGAGCATGCTTTAGTTTCGGAAAGGTGGAGCGAGTATATTATTTCATCTGAGGTCATACCCGTCTTAGCAAAGTGCGTCATTATTGTTTAATTGCTTGGTTTGAAATAATTGGGTTAGGTTAGGCTAGACTATAAATGATTATTTACGGCTATGCATATCACATCAATGGATGGGTTTCTGCGGTAATATGTAAAGTAACTTTTCAACACCACTGAATCGAAATAGAAGTTTACCTTCATCATGTTAAAGTGCGTCTTAGTAAGTTTATTAACTTATCAAAGTAAAGATATTTTACGCAATTTTAGCTAAGCACTGCGCCTATATGCCAAAAATAAACACAAATAGCAGAAAATTAGCTTTTCATCGAGTTAACTTAACTTTCATAGGTTGTTACAATATTGTTGGATTTTTGTCGTAGATCACACAACTAAAAATCCAAATATTCTTTTGATTCTTTTGTTTTGGATTATTGGGAATCCACAACACTTATCTCATCCATCGGAATCATATTCAACTAGAAGCAAACCTATTCTCTCATTTACTCTCGCCCCAAAAACTTATTTTTTCCTTGCATAGACTGAGTTAATAATTTTACATGAGTACTATTACAATATGAATTTTCATGGAGCGTGAAAGACAAAATATTTTTAACCCAAGTTTTAATAGATTCTGAACCCCATATAATTCTTAGTATGAGCTTATGACTTTTTGTAATGAAGAAGTCATTAAAGAATATTTCCTCACTCATTAAAACTCATTGCCATTACTAAAGTACTGCTTTGCGATATTCAGAAGCACTTTATATAGCCTATTGTTATGAAACTCTTTTCACTGTCAGTGTCAAATGTCAACCCACAATGAGAAGCTGAAAGACAACCTGTTACATAAACCAGAGAAATGTCAACATTTTGAATGACATGAGTAGCAAGCAGAATTGAGAAAACCTTTGGAAATCTTTACTCTGAATATACTGGTGTGTGGTGAACACATAGGTACTTCCAAATAAATTTAATGTCGGTTGAAGTCAATTTTACTCCATAACTAAAAATGGTTCCTGTGAAATTTTTAGTTTATTCACTTTAACAGTTATCTGAACGTTTTCAAGTACACTGAACTAAGATGTTTAGTTTTGGTTGCTATCAGTCAGTTACATTCTTTATCTTCTGTAAACACTCATCTTCAAGATATTTTAAGTCCTCAGCTTATTTAGTGATAATATTAGTATCTGTGAAAATTAAGTGTTCAAGATTAGAAACAAAGAGATGTTGATTGTTTCCTCATGTAATATGAAGGTGATTTATACGAAACACTACTCCTCCGTTAATAATGGACGGATTTTTAAAAACGATGTGTCAAAATTAAGTATTTTTTGTGTAGACAGGCCTCGGGCTTAGGCCCCGCAGGCCATCCAAATGCCAATGTATTTCTTATGAAGAAGAGATTTTACTTACTTAAACAGACGAATAATTTGTATAAATTGCATACTAAAACAGCTGTTTATAGTAAACACATGATACACACAAAAAAAAAAGTAAATAAAAAATTTGATATTTATTTATGTAATTTTTGTCCAGTTTATCATGTCTATATTATCTATATTGCTTTATTTTCACCTCTTAATCTTGTTCTGTATCTTGGACATCCAACTTTAAGTATTACAGAGAATGAATAATTATTATTATTATTTTTAATAATTATTCTTAGTAAAAATTCAGTAACAAGAAGACACGAATCTCATTAAAAAAAGTAACCTTGTTACTTTATAAACCTTAAAGGTTGTTAAAGTATAACCTTGTTTTAATGAAATCTGGCTGTAAGATAAGAAATATGTGTGCAATAATTATATTTTCACGTACTTTAGCACTTGTATTAAATTATAAATACAATACGTTGAAAAATATTGGAATATTTGCACATAATTAAGTTTTTACTATAGAGGAACTTAATCTAATGTTTGAGAAAGGGTGTGAAGAATATACAGTGTTTTTGTAAACGCTATAATAATGATAACTCACTTTAATACATGTAACATATAAACACAATAGTATGGCCAAGGCACCAAATGTGCTTATCCATAGAAAGTAATAAATTATATAAATACAAATAAAAAAAGTTTAAAGAACTACTAACACAAAATATATAATGATAAGCAAATAAATATAGAAACATCTGAATAATACATTGAGAGCGACTAATCAATTGACAATAAATGATCAGTCGAACTAAAATGGTTGAACTTACAAGTGGAATGAAATAGAATACGGATAAGTTTTTCATTGTCAAATTAGTACAGGTATTGAAAATTATAAAAAAAACTCAATCGAATCTTATAAAACACATGAGAAATACAAAATTAACTCATGAAAGAAATAATCAAATCTTTATACAAATCTCAAATGAGAAGTGAATTTACCAACTTTTAAAAATATAAAGCTCCCTCCAAAAATTACAAGAGTCTCATAAAATAAATATTCTTGTTCCTAATATATTAAAAATTGTCAATTTCTAAATACATCTATACAATTTCAATTTGTCTCCGTATTCCAGTGAAAAAAATTTACAGTTAGACAACGTTAGTTTATTCAAAGCACACTTTTAAACCCTAAATAAATAATGGAGTATCAAAATAACAACAACTTATAAAAATACACAAATAAATAAAACTGCAGGACTGGGTATTGTCTTACTCCTAAAGATATACATGGTATCGCACTTATATTGCTTGTCTTTACTTTACGTGGAATGGTCAATCCCAATAGATCCTGCCTATACAAGGAACCCAGAGTAAAATTATCAAATGTATAAAAAGTCGATCACATCAAAGTGTATCGGACAAAATAGTTGTAGAATAAAATGAATGAGACGTTCCGACGCGGAATTGAGCACATCACATTGGTAAAAGACCGGCGATTATAACTAATCCTTAAAATCACAAATCGCTCTATAAATTAAACAAAATCTTTATTCCTAACGGAAAACATCAACTCTGGAATAAATTAAGCAGTCTGCGTAATACCGTAAGAAGTAGATACGAATACAGGAGAAATCTTAATGGAATCGACCGGTTTATACACGAAGTTCACTGCCGAACTGGAACGCTAGAATGCCAGGGTTGTGGGTACTAATCCTGTTGAAGACTGGGAGTCTGGCGTCAGGTGAGCCTGGGGGTGGAGGGGGGGACTGACAGGGGGACAGACTTCCAGGGGATTCCAAGGAGTGGACTAGAGAAGCGAACGAGAAGGCCGTATTGGATGTGGTAGACGGAGGTGGAGATGCACTACCCAGACTAGACGGAGGCGACGGAGTCTCGGCGCTGGAACCTGGACCAGGGATGAGGCACAGAGGTCTAGGACGATTCTTCATCGCGTTGGCTCGAGCCTCCTCGGCGTTGTGGATGAAGTGGCATCTAGGACCGTAGGGACAGAAGCCTGAAGTGTGGAAGGTGCGGCAGAGTTCCGTCTTGTACTTGGGGTGTCTGACGAGGTTGCGCAATTCGTGTCCTCCGTGTGCGAACTGACACTTGTCGCCGTACTTGCATTCGCCATTCTCCTCGAACGGTCTGCACAACTCTGTCTTGTACCTGTAACACGACACAATTGTTGTAGAAATACTGTACCCAAGCTACCTAGTCACATGATAACTTTTGTTTTATTTTAAGGCAATAGTATGACTCATCCAATCACTAATGTTTTAATTACACTACGTTCAAGAGGGAAGTAAACTCAACCTTTTTTGATTGTCCCTATATTCCATTCCCAACCCTACACTTAGCCACATAATTAATTTAACCAATTAACATGGCCTAGGTAAATTATGCAACTAAACACATGGTTAGGATAAGGATCCCTTGAAAATGGGAGGAGTTTTACCTCCCAAAATGTAGTGTATTTAAAAAATGCTAGCTATAGGAAAATTCTGTCCTTCTATATTACCTTAAAAGATCAAATCAGTATCCTTCACAATAATGTACTTTAAAACATACAGTTAATTACTTTCAAACTCATAAGCCTAAAAATGTACTTGCAAACTGTTATTAGTTTTAACATAGTTACCCCCCTAAATCATAAACAATACAGTTACCGTGATTAGTTTATGATGGAATTTTAAATTGTTTAGTAAAATATCAAAACTAGAATTGTAGCCAATCAATGGTAAATTAAAGTCTTTTTAAAATACATTGACAAATTAATAGACATTAGTACCGTCGGTGAATGTAGGGGTGTGTTTTTGATCACGATTTTACTTATTGTTATTTCTTGTACTCTAAATCTAGATGAAACAATCTAATTATGAACAACTTCTTTTCCTCGTGTTTTATAACCAAACAATAAAGAAAAAATCATAAAATGTATTATTGTTCAGGCACAATGTGGCAACGCCGCAGTCTCGGCCTACCAAACATCTGTAGCACTAATTCATGAACCGTCCATGTAGTTTACACTTTCGTCATTACTGTTATTACCATAACAATAAGCCAGCCGGTGCGACGTTGCCATGTTGCTCGCCGCGGCCTCGTGTAAGGAAGGCTACAACAATATACCTGTTGATGTAATAAATGCAACTTTTTTCAAGAAGATATTTACCTGGAGGTGTTTACGTTGACGATGGACTTTGCGGGATCAGACTGTGAGCGGTCCAGGCGGCGGTGTGAGTTGATGTTTTCCAGTAGCAGGGAGGTGATGAGTGATCCCATGGAAGGTCCTACAGGGTGCGACGCTCGCCGGGACAGAGGTTCGTGTCCGTCCAAAGGCAAACCGACGGCTCGTTCCCATCTGAGGCCCTTGGCTCCGGTAGGACTTCCGGCTCCGGATGGCACTGTTTGGCCGCCCATCGCGTTTTGCTGCTGCTGCTGTAACAAAAACGAGAGTCATGAGTAAAAGTATACATTACCAAGATAGATGTAGAGATAGGTCTTGAAAGATTAAAGAAGTTGTATGTCTCATCTTTACATCGTAGGATCCCAAGCTCTAGCCGAGAATTATTTTATACTTCAGGCTAGGCCAATGGGGGGGGGGGTTGGCATAAAAATTGGCGATTGGCAGGATTTCAACCCGGGACCTCGGGGTCCGATGTCCCACGCTTCTACCACCAGACCAGCTTGCTCTAACAGATCTACGCGGTTATCATTATCTAGCCCTATTGTGATCACAGATTATTGTGAACATTTTTCATCAAGATTAATAAACAAATTTCCTTGTTTTGAGATGTGGAATGTGATTGATGTAGTGAAAAAACATCAAAACATTATTAAAGTACACAAACCCACACGAAGCTGGGAAAACAACAACAACAACCAGTCACAAATCTGCACAGTAGCCAAACATAAATAAAAATCATAAGAGAGCAACATTATAGAACATACATGACTATAGTAGGTAGTAATACAAATAAGCACGTAAGAACAAGCAAACTAAAAACAGAACAAAATTGAACACGTTTAAGCAAGAGGGTGGCAACAGCAAGACTCTCTGGATGCGGTTGCTTTGGGTGTTTCTTGTGTATATTTAAAACAAATTTTGTTAGCTTTGTTAGGCGCCTATTTAATAAACTTAGTATCTAAACCTAACCAAGCTATAAGAAGAAATTAATAATTTTAATTAATCCAATAACTAATTAGGCAGTCACCAACTCTAACTCGAACCATGTATTTTTTGAATCCCTGAGGAAGTCACACGTTTTTCTGGTCTCACTTGACGTTAGAGTAAGAAAATGTACTAAGTGTAATTTACTAATGTATGTTTGTCCTCTACTTAGCAAGGTATGCATACAGCCAAAGAGTTATGCGAAGCTTACAAAATCTTGACAAAGCCAAATTGTGGCCTTACACTATTTTGGAATTCAGCATAAGCCAACACTAGGTCACATTACTGGCTGACAACGAACTGCACTCACGGTCAAAGGAATTTACAAGGGTTGGAAGGGTAGCCCGCCTAAGTCATATGGAACTGCACTCACGGTCAAAAATCGGTCTTTCACGGCTGAACGCTTCGCTAGCCCCCTTAGTCATCTGTTTATTCCGTCCTCTGTCTTACTTTATCCAATACTTTATCTAATACACGTTTTAGTGTTTGTCCCAATAAATACAACAATAAATAACCTAACCTAACCTAACCTAACCTAACCTAACCTAACCTTTACAAAAGAAGCTTCGTTATAATAAGAATATAGCCTATCATGTTATCGTAAATACTATGCTAGAATTTTCTTTGCACATATATATGTGTATTTTTTACAATGTCAGTAGTAGGTTTATTTTTTGATGTTTAGATTAATTTAATCAAAACTTTTCAATATATTTCGACTAATTTAATAAGTTTTAATCAATTCAATCATGGTGTTGCACAATGTGATATAGGCTAATTAAAAACTGACCGTGAGTGCAGTTCCAGTACCTCCAGAAAGGCTCAAAGTGACCGTGAGTGCAGTTCCGTAGTTGGATTAGGACCAGAGAGTGACCGTGAGTGCAGTTCCAGCCCTCCCACATTACTTAATATGTGCAAAGTGATTTTTTTGTTCGCCAATAACACAAAAAACTCTTTTGTAAAAAATATATATATTTTTAAATTAAAGCATTCTTTACGATTTACGAGCAGCCTCGTCGTCTAACGATCGTGATGGGGGTGAGGAAGAAACACGATTTTGTAAATGAAAGGATAAATTAACGTCTAAATGCAGTTAACCAATTTTGAAAAATCAACAGTTTTTGAAAACTCATTATTATCTTTACGGTATTTTAAGAAAGTAATTAAAAAACATTTTTCAAATTAACGACTAAGAACCAAATTATCAGGTAACATCAAAGTTCAAAAGACAAATTTGAAAAGCACAGTATCCAAGGAAACCCTAATTTTAAAGTAGGCCAAGTCGGATAACATGAACAATTGTACGAACGAGGTACTGAAAAATACAAACATACCTAAACAAATCCTACATAACCTACCTTAAAATCCAGAGATTGACTAAACTTTCTTTTCATTACGATTTTGTTTTAAATAGAACAGGAAAACTTGGAATTTTGCATGAATGATGACCAATAAATAAAGTTAAATTATTGCGCTTACACAACTTACTTGTACTGTAACTAAGGTTACGAAACCCGAAATTAACTTCCTACATAGATACAGAGGTTAAATAGACACGCTTTAAAAACTTATCAACCCCCAAGGCCGAAACCACCTAACCTAACTCAAATGATAAAATTTACTGCCGTGTGTTGAGGACTGTAAGTAAACTCGAGATAGGCTATTTACGTAGGCATAAAATGTGTTCCAACGTGTTTGACTGTGACTGCAAGTGATAAGAGTCTGTTATCACTATAAGCCTGGTCTAGCGTAGACAAGATGGCGGTTATGTCAACAGATAAGGCAAACAGGAAATACATTCTGACGGGATGTAACTGTTCTTGTATATGTAAGAGAAAAGGCTAATTGTATCACAGAGTAAGAAATAGTGCCTAGATCCATAGACGTTTTGTAGAAAGCGTTTTCCTGCCTTTACATCTTAGTTACGTTATAGCTCAGAACAGTACTACATATTACTTCATTAATAACTTAGATAAAATGCATTGGTGTTTGGCAAGATTTTAACCCTGACCTTGGGGACCGAAGTCCCACGCTCTACATATATACATAAACAAATAGATAGACCAGAATTTTTCAGTGACTTAATTCAATTATGTTTAATTTCAAACTAAACCTAGCTTAACTTTAACATAGACATATTGTAATGACTTCTAAATATTCAAACTATGGATTTCATACTTGCCCGAGTGTATACGTCATCGAACAACAATATGATCAATTATATGCCGAATTTCTACAATATAATTATAAAAATTAAAACAACCTTGAGTTGAGGTTATGTTTTTGAGGAATGAACATGGCCAGCCAAGCATAGCATTGCATGCCAGGTAATTAACTACTGTAACCATTACGTAACTATAGAGCCACAACAGGCTGGCTAATTAAAACAAAAATTATACAAATTACAAAATGCTTCTGAAACAAATAAATCTTATTGTGTTTTTGTTAACTCTGACATTTGTAAACTATTACTAGAGACGTTTTCTTTTAGTTTTCCGTATTTTTTAACATAAACTATTTTAAAATCGATTAACTAAATTCGACATTAAACGTAATCGGACTACAATTTATAACAAGTTTATATATATATTTCGTCAATTATATATGCATAAGCTATGGTTCAACTAAGATTATACAATATACAGAGCTGACTTGTTAATATTAAAGCAAACCACTGTCAAATTACTCCTATTCACCATACATTTGGTAAGATATAGATATAACCAGTTTTGTCGAGTCTTAAAGGACTCAAAAAAGCTTATTTCAGGTTAGAACACTCACAAAGCATTCAAAATCTGCCATGAATTCAAAATCTCACTTTAAAGAGTATTTCTTATAAATATATATGTTAACTTTCGAACAGAATGTTAATTTTTGAATTTTTAAGACCACAAAATTTCTTAGCCATAAACCACTAAATCGGAAACGAAAAATATCATACATAATGAAAACTTCTAGAAATATCAAACTAATAAAATACAGACAATAAAAATATTAAATAGGTTACCAAATGTTTCTTGAATTTCCAAATTCCAGTGATATTCCACATTTTGACGTTATGCTTCTAAATCCGATGAAAATCTTGGCAAAATTGCAGTTTTACGTAGACAAATTTAGCACACGTCTGCACCGTAGAGAGGGTGGTTAGGTATGAACCGGTGGGGTCATGTTTAGGGGTGCGAAGGGTAGGGAAAAGGAAAATTCCTCTACGAAGAATCTTTAGGTTAAGTTATTCTACAAAACATAATAGAAAACCAGTTTTACTACGCTTTTCATGAAACTAGTGTATGACTATTTAGACATTTTGAAATATCACTTCCAGCTGTTAAACGTGGAGATGTATAAAAATTATTATCGACCTATTTTTATTTTTTTTTAGTCTATCATGTTGACGAAAGAATACGTGGGATATTTAGTACAAAGAAAAACATGTTATAAATACACGAAACTGTTTGGCAGATGCTTGAAGACTTTTCAGGGGGATGATTTTCAACGAAATTTAAAGCGAAATGTTTCTGGAAATTTTACTAGGGTGACATAACTTTCCAAATATGGGCCCCTCGTTTCTTTGAAAATACTCTCCCTAGAAAGTCATTTTTCAAAACTGTCAAATCTCTTGTCGTGTATGTGAACACGTGTTTCTTTTTATGAAGACAGTGTTTTCCCCAACTATTAACATTTTCCATTCCCCCAAATGAAAATGTGAATAGTTACGTAAAATAAGTTTTTAATTAGTCTCTATTAATTATCATATCAAAAACAGGATTAAAAACGATGACTCTATACTTATGATAACAATAAAAATTAAAAAAAATCATCTGCGATTTCGAACATAACCTCTTTTGAATATTCAGATATACCCAGCAATGTCTTATGATCTTTGGAACTACTACTATAAAACATATCTCTGAACTATAAACCCCTTTTCTTTGCATTAATTTAAACCCAGTCACTAACCCTTTACGCAATTACATTTTGGGTTTTAACTTAGGAAATAAAAAACCAAACAGGACATAGACCAGGATGTTATGTAAGACTTTCGCCAGACACTCATTAGATAACCAATTAGTTGATGAAATCCAAACAAGAAAGATGCATTAGAACTTTGTAAGGGATTTGCATTGACTGTACTGTCCTGAGTTACTTCATAAGAACATCTAGAGAACTAACATCAACAAATTGTTTATAGAAATACATTGAACATTCATTAATTGGAATTTTGTTCCTACTGATTCAGCTTAGGCCTGATTCAGATAATAGATTAAAA